GAAAATCAAGAGGAACTATGTGTAATTCAAATACACTCATATCTCAGAGACACTTCTGCTTTTCCTCATACAGCATAAATGTTACTTCAAATTGGTGTGTGTGAGAGAGAGAGGAACTAATGGAAGATGAGGATCAGGCAAAACTACCTTTCATATTCCTCAGGGATGAATAGGATTACCAACACTAAATCCAAGCACATCCGTAAAAGTCTTCCATCCTGTTTCCATGGAAATCTCTTTAAGAAATACAAGATCAAAGTGGAATAATCCTCATGGTCATCGTTTCCTTACTTTACAACCATGAATCTGTGTGTATCAGTATTAAAATCTGAAATTCATCATCACTCATGACCAAGCTAAAATCCACAAATGAAATCCAATAGATAAAAATAACTGTCCAGAGATCAGTACAGCAGACTGGATTACACCATGCATTCATATTTCACATGGACAGGACTCGAACCGTATTTATATATCAGAGACAAAACTAACTTTGTAATCAAGGCAAGAATGATGCAAAATTATATTAATGACCTTAATATGAGTTGGAAGTGTGAATGTCAGTTGCGTAAGAGTATCATATTAATTGATCTAACCCTTAAAAAACATTTATTGCTGGTGTAATCTAATGTAGCCAGGCAGATTCAGTTATATTAAATAATACTATTAAAGCAATAGTTCACCCAAAAATGAAAATGCTGTAGTCATTTACTCACTCTCATGTATGACTTAGTCACATAGTAAAAGAAGATATTTTGAAAGTGTCTCTTTTTTCCTCACAATGGAAGTCAATGTTTATGAAAAAATATTAAAATAATGAAAATGAGCATGGACTGTTAAAGGGTTAGATCACCCAAAAATAAATAAATCATTTACTCACCCTCGTGTTGGCCCAAACCCCTTAACACTTTCATCTTCAGAACACAAGTTAAGATATATTTAATAAAATCTAAACCAGTTCTGTACCCTCCACGGAGAACTACACAAATACCACTCATACGCTTCATAAAGAGATTGTAAAACTAACCCATTTCTGAAGAGGCTGGCACTTTATATGATAAACAGATTTAATTTAGGCTTCTATTCACATATAAACATTGAACAGCGAACATAAACCGAAGCTCAACCAAACGTGTGAGCACAAACCTCATTGGTTCTTGCGGAAGCTCAAACGCGTTACATTTTTTGCGTTTTTGCGTCATCTGCGTTACATGCTACTCTGAGAAATGGCACTTTGTATTTTGAGAACTTCTTGGGTCGTTTTTGCCTCTTTACGATGACTCGCTTTAATTTAGTCCTAATTTTAGTAATCTGCTAAATTACTAAATGTAAATGTGAATATAACAATGACTAAATGTAAATGTAACACGAGAATGAATCTCATTGGTTCTTGCATAAGCTCAAACAAGCTGCGTAACACGTCAATGAATCTCATTGGTTCTTGCAGAAGCTCAAACAGGCTGCTTAACACGAGAATGAATCTCATTGGTTCTCACAGAAGCTCAAACAGGCTGCGTAACACGAGAATGAATCTCATTGGTTCTCGCAGAAGCTCAAACAGGCTGCGTAACACGAGAATGAATCTCATTGGTTCTCACAGAAGCTCAAACAGGCTGCGTAACACGAGAATGAATCTCATTGGTTCTCACAGAAGCTCAAACAGGCTGCGTAACACGACAATGAATCTCATTGGTTCTTGCAGAAGCTCAAACAGGCTGCTTAACACCATAATGAATCTCATTGGTTCTCGCAGAAGCTCAAACAGGCTGCGTAACACGAGAATGAATCTCATTGGTTCTCACAGAAGCTCAAACAGGCTGCGTAACACGACAATGAATCTCATTGGTTCTTGCAGAAGCTCAAACAGGCTGCTTAACACCATAATGAATCTCATTGGTTCTCGCAGAAGCTCAAACAGGCTGCGCAACACGAGAATAAATCTCATTGGTTCTTGCAGAAGCTCAAACAGGCTGCTTAACACGAGAATGAATCTCATTGGTTCACTTCTCGCAGAAGTTCAAACAGGCTGCGTAACACGAGAATGAATCTCATTGGTTGTCGCACATCAAGCAAACATACATAAGCTTCCATTTACAACAACTGCTGTCAGCTGATGAATGTTTATGTGTGAATAAAAGCTTAAATTTAATCAGTTCATGATTGTGTCACTTCAGAAAAAATAGACTAAACCACTCATTTCATGGACTAGTTTTACGATCTAGTGGTTGATGATAGACTGACACCGAAATCGCTCAGATTTTATTAAAAATATCTTAATTTGTGTTTTGAACATGAATGAAAGCCTTACAGGTTTGGAAAGACATGAGGGTGAATTAATGACAATTTTCATTTTCGGGTGAACTAACCCTTTAAATATCAAATAGGCGGGCAGGCCTATCGGTAATATCATCAGATAATACGGTACTGATATATTGTGCATCCCCACTTTTTGAGTTTGATCTGACTTTTTTAGAATGTATCTGTGTAACAACACTAAATAAGCAAAGTGTGAAAGCAAATATCATGATAAGAAGCAAAAAAAAAAAAAACATGATCACACAGAACTTCCATATTCTCAAATGTCTAAAACAATGAAACAAGCGTTATTTATATATATATATATATATATATATATGAGGAAGTCTGAATGCACATGTGTGGAGAAGTGTACTTCACCTAAACAACAGTCAAAAGTGGCTGCATGACGTATCTCTCAACTGTGGTCACAAAGTGTATCAAAACAACATTTTATCTGAACTTGCCTGTCAGAGAGCAAAACCTGTGTGAGTCAATTACAAAGGGCAGATCTTCTCTCATATATTAAAGAAGAAAAGAAGAGAGTGTTTGATCAGATGAATTCTGCTGAGAGCTCCATATGTCCTGAAGCTTCAGGGTGATGCAATGTTTGGACTTGCTACTGCCCGTCACTGAATCCACCCTGTCTCTGCAGGACAACGCCAGTTGCTCGGTTCAGCAACATGAGATAAGATGACTAGCAACTGTTTTAGACAATCCAGACAAGGTCAACCATAAAAAGGGACAAATCAAAAAGCATCTTCTCTGCCAGACACCAGATAAATCACTGACTGGATACTTATCGGTAAAAAGAAAATGCTAACAAACTGTGTATTGAATGAATTCCTGATGTAACAGCACCTGACGTCCACTGTTTCTTTACCCTGTCTGAACTTATGCTGATGCTAGCAGTTCACACTCAGGGAAAAAAGGTGCTTACACTCTCAAAAAGAGGTGAATGTTTCTTTGATGAGCCAACACTAGATGAACAACTCGATTGTATACGTAAGCTAAGCAAGCATGTTGCACATTGATCTTCTGCATGATATATCTGTTGACAGACAGATTTAAGTGATGAAATTAAATGGAGTGAAGAGAGGGACTTTTCGAGGGAAATAACCACCACAGTAACTTGGAGAGTCAAATAATTAGTAAAATGGAAGTCCCTGTGCTTGTGTGAGACAAATTTTTCCAAAACATTATGAGGTCAACATAATTGGACGAGAGACGATTAATAGGACTGGCAAAATCATAAAATGCGAAATAAGGAAGAAACAGCATAATACAAATAACAAGGACATGTTCATCAGTCACTCTGTGCTAATATTCAGCAGTCTTATCAAACATCAGGACTTTATCTATAGGCAATTATATCACATAAATCCCCTAGTATGTGTTATGATTGTGTTATTATTAATGAGGGTTGGTCAAGTGGCTAAACTTCATACTGATTAACTCAATACCAGGATCCAATATCTCTGATCTCTGATCTTTCACCCTCAAGAAACACATAGATGAGATATGCCATTGACTGACATGTTGGCATGATCAGAGTACAAGAAAATAGACTCAGATGTCAAACACCAATACGAATAACACTCTGACCTTTCATCCCACACACAGAAACGCATAAAGATCCCATCACAACACCATTTTGGATGACTATATTTAATGAGGTCAGAGGTTCAGTTTGGATGAAACCTCGTGTTCACATTTTTTCACTCAATACGGGTATAGAAACCACTATTAACTTAGATTAACTAGCTAATGAATTAACTTAGATGGTTTCAAACTCATTTTCTACACACATGGTTGTAGTTGTGACACAAAAAATAAAGCCACAGTTACTTGAAATAACAAAAAAAACCATAAAACCTGCCTGTGTGACCTTAATCAATTTAAGTGAATTATTGAAAACAGAAGCTTCATAATGAAGGTTGGCTTCTATATTGCGTGATTTTTAAAAACTTTCATAAATGTCTATTCTATTTCTATAGGCAATAGGGACTATTAAATTATCTTGATAGTCAATCAAATAATGAGAAAATCCAAAGAAATTGAACATTTATGTTAAGAACATTCTAGTGATCATTTCAGAGAGGACAATTTGCTATTTTAAATACTAATGCTGCTGGGTGAAGTTGTAACTGCCATGTTTTGTCTCATGTTTCAAGAAACAGCTAGTGTAGTGTGTACAAGTGTTCTTCATATATAGGCCAGGGGCTTCAGACTCAATTCCTGGAGAGTTTAACTCAAGCCCTAACTAAACACACCTAATGAAGGTCTTTACAAGAAATTTCAAGGCAGGTGTTTTGGAGCTGGTTGGAGCTACACCTTTATAGGGCAGTAGTGCTCCAGGAGTTTGACATGTCTTATTAAGGTGACATTTGGGATGTAGAGCCATCTAAGGTAAAAGTGTTATTAACTGCAGTTTGCTGCCTGTAACTATAAACCCTGTGATAAAATATATATAATTTCTGTAAATCCAGATAAACATGCACAGTGTGACACCAATAATCAGCATCATTCCTTCACTTTCCATAGCACATCACATCCTTTAAGTGGTGATTTGATGCGTTTTAACATTTAAAATGCAACAAGTGCAGAATCACTGCCAACACATTGCATTTGCCCAGATTAATAACCCAGCCGTTTTAATTATTATGAACGTGAGTGAGTATGCTGCTGACAGCTGTCAAACTCACCAGCTCGTCCAGGTTGCGCATATCCAGGAGGACTCTCTTCTGCTGCTGCTGCCAGCGGGCCAACAGCTCCGGGTCTGGCTCGCCGATGCTTTCCTTGCGAGTGTACGTCCTGCTTGGCGGGCTCTGGGACTCCCCTACAGCCTCCGTCAGGTTCTCCTGGTCCCGAATCTCCTCCTCGATCTCCTCCTCGAGTTGAATCAACATAGGGGCCAGCATGCCGAATTTGGCCCCCCGGCGAGCCACCTCCAGCAGGCACAGCACGAAGTTCTTCTCGTTGCACCTCTCCACCAGGTCGTTGGTCTCGAACATGAGCACATCTTTGATCCAGAGCTCCTGCCTGCACCAGCCGATGAAGTTCGACACGTTGTCTCTGGCCAAAAACGATCCCGGAATGACGTTCCTCGACTGGAAGACCACGTCCTTGCTGGGGATCCGGAAAGGAAGCGCCGCATCTGGGTAATTCGCCTTGAATTCGTGGGCGGCGCGGTTCACGTTGTTGGCATGCCGGCAGAGCGCGCAGCCGGTCTCCAGACCCTCCATAAAAGTGTCCGCCGTGATGTCCAGCTCGTAAAGCGTGTTCAGCCATTCAGCCAAATCCTCCTTCATGGCATACAGGTATTCCTCGCTGGATTTGAACGGCCTGATGCTCTTGGAGGCGGCTGACTGAATGTTGCTCTGATCGGCCATATTATGGGAAAATGTGTATCAATCAAGGCACGAAATGACGCACGGCTGTCTCATACAGTAATCCTCCACAAACAGCGTTGGGAATGGCATAACGACGCGCGATAGGAGCTCCTAAAGCGGGCCGCTTTGACTCGCAGCTCCGCGGTGCAGCTGTGGGATTCCGCGATGGATTCCGGATGTCTGTGAGATACCCGCCTCCTTCAATGACCACATCGCGATTACTCATTCCCCTATGGAAGTCCAGACCGAAACAGAAACATGACAATTATCAGTACGTTACATGACAGCTCGACGACATACTATCCCATTCGACGCGCTTTAGCGTGTGTTAGAAGCATCCGCATTGGCTAACAGCGCTCCCCAACGCCTCGTTTATTCATTCGGTCACACCAATTCAGAGGACGCATGGCCGATTGAGGCAGGAAGGCTGCCCCGGTCAACTGGGGTAGTTTAATAATAATCCTCGTCAGTTGGAAAAGATCCGACCGTCCTATGCGCCGCCTCCAGCACAACAACGCGCTGAGCTGCAGTGGCTTATAATACATTGGAGTTCCATCTCATTAGAGGATCAACAGCAAATGTATTCCCATGATGCAGCTCCTCTATTTCAATTGCTCAGCAGCACAGGCCAATACTATAACGTCCAAAGCGTTTATTTGCATCTGACATTCGGTTGAAATTACCGATCATTTTTATTCAAATAGCTACGGTAACGGTTACTGTTCTGCTGACAGAAAGTCAAGCGAAATAAGAAACAAGGATGTTAACAGAATGCCCACTGTTCCCATCATGCAAATTGGAGATTATACGCAAAAGCTTTGCTTATTTGTCTCCAATTTGCATGTTCGTTGATGGGAACAGTGGGCATTCTGTGATTGCTTCTTGTAAACAGTAGACTGGGTTTAATTAGTGCGACGTTGATCATGTAATCTGTTTGCACGCGCTGATTAGAAGCGTGAACGCAAACTATGTGATGTAATCAACGCATACCTTCAAGTGATTGTCTATATGAAATGCAGTGCCAAATTATGACAATGTAAGGATTATCTAGACTACAGTCAGACAGTGCCATGAGGACTGATTGTCTGTGCATTTTCCCGCGTATTTACACTACTACTGAATTAAACACTGATTTGTTAAAAATACTACATTAACGCACCGCTTATTAGCTTAAGCCTCCACTAAGAAAAATAGTCAAATCATGTTGAAAACAATCGGTCTAGCAACAAGACGAACACAGCATTATTATTACAATATATATTTCTAACAGCAATTCAATTAGTTTTTACGGTGAAAGTTAGTAAACACATTTAGCTTCAGTTAATGTTAGCCTCTAACGTTACGTTACGTTACTAACTTTACCTTTTCGTTGTTCCTCCGACCAACATTTTCATTTTGTTGCTTTAACTCAACTTCTAGTCTGCGCACAAACATTTTATATGCTTTCCATATTTAAATGAATACTGAAGACATCTGAGACCAATTTAGTCATGATTTGGTAGTGGTAGTAACTTAAGCCTTTAAATTCGCAAGAAGCACAAACTGGCGATTCACATCGCGGAGCAATCTTGGAGGCGAGCAAGTAGCGCCGGTATGTTTGCCGTATAAAAAGAACTGCAATTGATCAAATATTTGTGATGACATACGTGTAATTTGGTGTTATAAACTTCATAAAAAACGCAATACCACAATCTTGCTCATGTTAAAGAACTTTAAAAATATATTTCTCCTTAAACAAAAATAAGAAATACTAAGCATTTTTGCTCCATTGCTCAAGAACGTCAGTGTTTCTTGCCCAACTTTATTCAAGGCTGTCAAATTAAATGAATGTGGCTATCCAACAAGCTCTGTTCTTGTTTGGCTCCAAACCTTTAGTCCAGGCTCACTCACACACTCTTCTTTGCCAATGGTCTTGGTCATCAGCAAATGAAAGGGACCACTCTGAATAGTCAGACAAAAGACAGACATCATCATGATGTTAATCAGAGTTCATTTGTCTCCTTTAAACAATCAGTTCAATAACTGTAGGACAACTGAAAGGCTGTCTTCAGAAACTCAACTCTTAACAACTAGCCTACCAGACAAGCCAAAGTCAAACTAGTGCAGCTGCAAATGAAAAGGCAAAATAAAGTTTAGAGCAGTAGTATTTGAAATAGAAGCATCTAAATGTCATGTTGAATGTGTCTCCTTAATATATTGTGAAGTAGCCTAATGGTAATGCTAGTGGATCAGAAATGGAAGACTCAAGTGTCATCCTATTTTAAGAGTCACTTTTGCTTGGATGTTTTAGCCGTAAGTCACAAATCATGCCAACTGCAGATTTAAATCACTCCCACTTTCTTCTAAATTTAACAACAGAGAACAGACCAACAATATAAGACATTACAACTGCCTTTTACACATTGTTCAGCTTTTCTCCAATCTTTCTCATCTGCATGATCCCATGACATAATTAGCATCAGAGATCCTACTAAATGGTAATGTTTTTCTATCCTTTTGTTTTACTTCCTGCTCTTGTAGTTGAAGTCAGGCAGCGTGCTCTTCAATGGCTCAGGCCGGACCACTACAGTGTGTCTTTATTCCAACAGCAGCCGCAGCCAAAAGGAGGCCCTTGTTTTGATTTGAAAAGCGTAGGCTGTTCCTTTAAGAGAGCTAGACGGAGGGGAGGACACACAGCAAGAGAAGGAATGAGATCATTCTTCAAGGCCTGGATGAATCAGCTTTTCTGTGAACACACACAAAACCAGTTCATTCCACATCTCTCCAGCAAGTGAGCATTTGGCTCTCAGATGTTCATTAAAAAGGGTGTCAGTCAGTCACACAGTGAAGTGCGATTATGCCATTCTATGCATTAAGTTTATGAATGAGAATTATCTTTGCTCAATTCAATTTGAGCATGATTTAATGAACTTACGGATTTTGCAAGAAGTCTCTTAAGTTGGTATAAACTTAAGAGACTTCTTGCAAAAGAAGTCATCCTGTCAGCTCCTGCCAACACTTCAATTAACAAGAGAAATGTTTCAAGAAGGTTCTTGTAAAAAAATTTTAACAGTCCCAAGCTTTACAGGTGACAATAGTTTCATTTTATAAAACCTTTAAAAGCCAGAAGAGAAAACAAACTAGTATTGCTCGCAATTGTTTTAATGGTAATATTCCGTACAACTAGGATTGGACAGCTTAATGTTTATATTCCTCTAATAATTAACTTTGACACTACAGTAACAGCACATACTTCTGAAAAATGTATGCATATAGACTATAAAATGGGTGGAGGGGGTTACCAGTGCTCAAACCAGCAACGTTTAAATCCACTTAAAATTTATCAAGACGCTGTAATGGAGGCTGGTATCATTGTAATTTGTAATCAACGCCAAATTAACACGATCTATGTTCGTACTCATCAGATAAATCTCTCATGTACATGGTAGGCCTGAAAACTTGTGAAACTAGAACAAATGAGACACCTAATGGCTAAAGTCTGAATTGCACCCAGTCATGTGGGTCTAGTGCAAGTTATTACAATTTGCACAACAGCTACAGATCTTGCTGTTTTGAAGCGTTCTTTAAGAATAGCTTCAGGGGTTTAAGCACAGAGCAACACAAGGTAATGAATTCATTAAAGACATGAATAGATCGCATGCATAAAGATTTTTAATTGCAGGCAACTTCAGTACACACAAACCCCAATATGAAAAAAGGGATCCCAAAACATGGCAAAACAACCGGAGGTGGAAAAGTTTATTTTTAAAAAAATTGATCAAAGTACATAGTTACATAGAGAGACATGTAAGACAGACATCACCAAAAAAAGGTGACTACAGGGCAACTGAGTATTTTAAAAAGGCTGGGGGACCATTATAGCATACAAAAAAAGCAACCAAAAGGTTTAACTAAAACCACTGTTGTACTGAAATTAAAAATAAGAAAAGCAAAAAAAAAAAGAAAAAAAAAAGATAACCATATAAATATGGAATCATAAATAAAAAGGACTTTTAAAATTGTTTTCCTCTATGCTTGACGCATTAACTCAGTAGGGTCTGTCTCTGCGCTCCTGACGGTGATCCCTGTTGGAAGAATAAAAGAAAAAGTATGTATATGAAGCATCACAAGGACTAAAGCATTTCACATTCATCCTGCTATACTCACAGTAAGTGATGCTCACCTCATATCCATCTTGCCTGGTGGTCCCATGCCTCTCCTGCCCCCTCTGTCCATGGGAGGACCACCCCTGCTACCTCCTCTGAATCCACCCCTGTCCATTCCTCCACGGCCTCTAAAGCCTCCGCGATCTCCTACCCAGCCTCCACGCATGCCTCCTGGTCCACCACGATCCATTCCCCTGCCGCCCCTCATTCCTCCTCTACCACGATCACCTTACACATTTATACAAATCACGTTTTTCTGTTACACAACTCAAATCTCATCACAAGTGACAGCTGACGGGGAAGACTGTTAATCTGAGTGTACCTGAAATAGGGAAGGGAGGAGCTCCAAGGCCTTCGGGTTTTGGAGCTTTACATTGGTTACACTCCATTCTCCAGGAGAAGTTCTGATTGCCACATCCACTGAATCGAGATTTGAGAGGCAAACAAGTCAGAAACAGACATTAAATTTCTGTTAAGCATAAATACGTTTTTATGCTTAAACAGCAGGTTCCATGTATTGCAAATTTGACCTCAGTTTGGTTGCTTAAAGGGATACTTCAGGATTTAGCATTAAGCTTTGCATCAGTAGAAAACCAGTACTATTTTCAAATCACCATGCTTCCAATTTCAAAAATAATTTCACATTTCTACTATATGAATGACCAATATTAAATATACACATTCATCTTCCCAGAGGTAAAGTATCCCTTTAAAGATGCACATCACTCACGGATTGGGACATTCCCAGTCTCCAGCTCTCTTCTGTGTGTTGCCTCCTGGAGGACCATTCCAGCCCATTCCACCCCGAGGGCCACCACGAGGGGGGAAACCACCTCTCTCTCCTCTTCCCATACCTGCATGCACAAAAATTAATCACAGTATAGAAGCACATGAAGGATCCACTTGAAGGATACCTATAAGGATTTACAGACAAAGTTTTATACCTCCACGGTCCATCCCAGGGCCACCTCTCATTGGCATTCCTCTCATACCCCCCATCATGGGCTTTCGGCGAGCCATAGAGACCTTTAACCTCCGGCCCTGGAATTCCTTACCTGTCATAAGAGGAACAGAAAAATGTGATGAGAGATTGACTGAAACTGGCAGACTAATGTGAACAAAACGTACACATTAATTGGTGATATGAAAAAGGTCTGAATAAGTTCAAGTTTATATAAATAACATTGAGAGGTATCTAAAAATAATTAGAAAAACCAACCATCGAAGTATTCAACAGCTGCTTTGGCAATAGCAGGTTCTTCATATGACAGTGTGGCATCTCCCTTTGGTTTGCCAGAATCTTTATCCGTGTAGATGTTTATGGCTGGTTGATTTAAACGCCGATTTATCTACGAGAGAAACAAAATATCAAAAAGGACTTTAAACAATTGAGTGCTGCAACAAATTGACAAAAGCTGATATTATTCAGAATAAACCATTTAAATGAGGGATGGACAGTCCTTACAGAGTTTAGCTCAATCATTAAACATCTGCCTGTAATTTTCAAACAATCCTTTAAACTTGTTAGGTTTTTCAGGTATGTTTGATTTGGGATTGAGCTAAACTCTGCAGGACAGTGTCCCTCCAGGAGTAGAGT